TATTCACTTTTTGAAGTTGATGTAAGTCGATAGGTACCTGAAAAATAGAATTTATTTCAATAAATAAACAAAAATAATAAAATCAAAACATAACCTTTCAGATCAGATGATTGTTGTCACTTTATAATAATAATAATAATAATAATAATAATAATGACTTTATTGAAAATTGAAAATTGACAAAATTGAAAAAATTGACAAATTGATATTACAAAAAAAGAAAAAAAAAAAAATTTCAATTTCAATTTTTCAAAAGGCGAAGTTCAGGATGCTCCGTGAGGGGCTCCTGTTCTTCCACTCAACCCTTGACTTAAACCTATACCTATACAGCGTACATACTATTGAGAAGATGAGAGAGATGAAATGAATGAGAGAGAGAGAGAGAGAGAAAGAAAAAGAGAGAGAGAGAGATAGAGAGGAAAGAAGGGAAGAGTATCAAGAGGGGATGTGATGTCCTTGTTTGAGGTAATTGATCAAATACTTTTTGAAAGAGGGATAAGATGCGTTGTAAAGTTCATTGATGGTTCCAGTAAGGTTGACACAGGCGGCGATGCGATAAGTGAAACAGCGTTTGTAAATTTCTTTTCTATGCCTGGGTATGGATATGCGGGAGGAGTGACGGATGTTCCTATTATGTATGTCGGATCTATAAACAATTTTATCAAATAAATAACTGGGTTTTTTAGATTTCAATAGTTTAAAGCAGAAGCAGCTCATGTGCAGAAATCTTCGATTATTTATATGTAGCCAGTCTAAGTCCTGTAATTTATGAGATACTCTATCGCGACGTTTAATTCCAAAGATCAACCTTATGCAGGAGTTTTGAACTTTTTGAAGCATTTTCTTGTCGAACTCCGTTAGGCAGGCACCATAGACTATATCACAATAGTTCAGGTGTGATAGTACTAATGTTTCACATAATAACTTTTTTATGTTTCTACTGAGGGAGAAGCGATGAGGGAATATTAATTTTAGAGCAGAGTAGCTTTTCTTTAGTATCAGATTGACGTGCTGAGAGAATCTCAATTGAGAATCAAGTATCAGCCCTAGGCTCTTAGCACATTTAGTGAATTGTATAGCTTCATTTCCTATTTGTATATTTATATTTTGCAAAATTTTGGTAGAATTAGTCTCGTTTTGACTGAACAAAATTGCAGTTGATTTAGATGGATTTATTTTAAGTAGGTGTTCCTGTTCGTGAGTTCGCCTATGTATTCTGTGTCACTTTATTTTGACCGTGCTGTCACTTGTGTCATTGATGGTTAACCAAACGAATGTAACCAAAGTGATTTCTTCTGGCTGCGACTAGCTCGAGACTGCTTCGACACTTTGGAGGCGGATTACACTTGCCCTACACTCGACATATATCAAACGTCATCGGCAGTGGTACCATTTTCTGACTGGAAAATTCCCATTTTTCTATTTGGCGGGTTCGAGAGGAAAAAAAAAGTATTTTCCTGGTATCCATGAGGATAGTGAGATAAGAAATCGCAATTTGCGGATAATTAATTCAAATTTCGGGAAATCGTGGAGGAAATAGTAGTTGTGGACACAGGAGCAACTTCTCATAGTAGAAGGATATAATTTCTCACAGTTCCGGAATCTCCAACCTCCAATAGAAAACACTTTGAGGCCATCCAACACCTTCCGGTATGTCTCACTATCAGTCAATACTTCCTACTGGAACTCATTGTCGATTATCTTCAGGCACCTTAATCATTTCTATTTGTAGGCCTCACAAGTAATGAGTCATAAGTCACCACTCATAGCTGATTCCATAGTACCTAGTTCCCTGGTTGGGTGAAGGATGTTTCTCGAGGTACTCTGACTCACCATTGAGTACTTCCATCAGAAACTGAGTACGAGTGATTGTACTTATCTGACAGGAGTCAGGCATCAGATGAATTGTGGTAGCTGTCATCTGACAACTTTGATTCCTGCTGCTGGCTCTCTGGATGACTATGATGAGCCCTAGATTTTAGATGTCATATTCAAGCACTCATATAGTTATAGGAATCAACTTCCAAACAACATCAAAGATACCTAATGATACTTGTCATGAGCTTGTTGTTAAACATGCAACCTAGGCATGTAGGTTGTGCAACTAGGATCAGTTGAAGAAATTTTGCAGAAACATGTTCTACTACAGGGTTTCCAGAGGCCATGTTTATAACAATTAAAGTGGTACTGATTGAGTTAACCAATGTATTGTAGGTAGTGATATCATTCCCTGGGTTATAGCGCTATCACCCCAAAACTTTATTGGCCATTATTTCTTTTGTTTATACTTACCAAAGCTTCAATATTTGATATAATTCACCACTACTTCTGGTGAATCCTATGTGTTCTGACATGGAATATAAAAACCCACAGGTTTTTATATTATATAACAAGATACACTGTTTTGTATCAAATAATAAAGCACACTGTTATTTGTATCTTCCATACTTCTCAAATATAAAATTATTGCATTCCCACTCCCTCCTTCACTGAGACAGGGTCTGTTCCTCTTTGAAGGTCTTATAAATAACTGCTACTCCTTTCCTCCTGTCAGAACTTCTGATAGAAGAAAAGAACATAGCACCTCGTATAAGCCTCATGAGGACTCACTATATTCATCTTACATAAAAAAGGAGGAGAAACAGATGTTAACAACTATAGACCGATATCACTGATAACGCATATTTCAAAAATTTCCGAGAAACTAATTAAAAATAGATTGAGCTCACACCTACAAGCGCATAATCTCCTTTCGGAAAATCAATTTGGTTTCAAAGCAAAAACCTCCACTCAAGATGCAATTTTAGCATTGACCAATGAAATCTACAATGCTCTCAAACAGCAACCCCTGTTTATGTATATTTTCAGATTTATCGAAAGCCTTCGATACTGTGAGCAACCCTCTACTTTTACAATCACTAGAAGATATTGGTTTGAAAGATAACAGTCTGAAACTCTTGGAGAACTATTTAACCAACAGAAAACAAATCGTGACGGTGGATGGTATACTTAGTAACGAAGAATATGTTGAATATGGTGTTCCCCAAGGAACCGTTTTAGGTCCCATTCTATTCAATATATACGTAAACGGATTGTTCTCCTTGAGGAGCGGAGGTAAAATCATCGGATTCGCAGATGATACTGCTATTTTCTATGGAGGTGACAACTGGCAGAATTTGAAGATGAAAGGTGAGACTGGTTTCTGGACAGTGAAAAACTGGCTAGATCACAAATTACTTACCATTAATTTCGAAAAAACTCACTTTTTACCTTTTTCGTGCAACAAATCCAATCCACCACCATATGATCAACTTTCTATCGAAATACATGAACATACCTTCTCCATATTATCTGTATCAGAGATAAAATATTTGGGCATATACATCGATTCTCACTTGAAATGGGACGTACACATAAATTATACTGTCAGAAAACTACAATGTGTGCTTCACAAAATTAAATGCCTAAGGAAGCTCCTACCCTTTTATCGCCTCAAAGTCATTTGCGATATGGTATCCTAGTTGGGGTGCAGCTCTCAAAACTCATATTCAACCACTTGAGGTCATACAACGAAGATTTCTTAAAATAATTCTCTATAAAAACTGGAGATTTCCTACAGATGACATTTATCTGGAAAGTAAACTTTTTGATATAAGACAATTATACTTCCTAAATATAAATTTGAAATTCCATACAATCCGACATCACGCCAATCTTCCCTCGCACAACTACAGAACTAGACAAGAAGTCATCATACTATTCCACATATGACGAAATCTTTATGCCAACGATCATTCAATTACTTGGCGCCAAAGGCATATAATACCTTACCAGAAGCAATCAAATCAATTGCCATCCAAACAATATTCAAAAACAGATTGAAAAAGTTCATCTATGATTCGCCTAGAATGTCAATTAGGGATTTAATTGAATTAGGAAACTGAAATACAACTATATTTCTAGGGATTTATTTGAATTAAAAAACTGAAATACATCTATATTTCTCGTATGTCTTGTGATTGATTCTACTCCAACACTGTTTATACATTCTTTTTGAAAAATAATTCTCATTTTGATTTTGTTCGATTTTTAGTAATAATATGTTCATAATTTTTCATATGATTTTTGAGGAAAATCAGTACATTGACAAGTTTTTATTTAAAGCTCGGATAAAAGAGAATTACAACTATAATATTAGGTGTGATTCTCTTATATCAAAAGTACAATATAAAATGTACGGTTTTCCTTCATCCCTACTTTTGAGGTTCTTTTTATATACACATATTTTCGTACACGCTACTAGGTATTTAATTGTATTTGTATTTGTATTTGTATTTGTATTTGTATTTGTATTCATTTTTATCGAAACAAGCATGAACATGCTCATCGATCATCGCATCATTCATACTATAGTCACACTATATACCATATATTATATTGAGTTGTTTCTTGTATAGATCAATAAATGATATTATTATTATTATTATTATCTTCATTAGTATGAAAATCATTATATCGAATAAATGGCAATTCTGCAGTCTTTTATATTTCCTCGTATAAACTTCAAGAAAAGTTACAGTATTTGGGTGGTTGACTAAAAATTGTCATATTCTTAAAGTGCATGTGGATAATTTGAAATAATGAACAAATTTTCGAATTTCATCATGAATGTCATTGACTCACTTTACTGCTAATATAATACTTGAAAAATGTTAATAATCCCTTCAAATATACGATTTATAGGCAAATTTATAGAATTTGATTCCACGGGAATGATGCCAGTGACACGGGAATGATTGATTTGGTTGAATCATCAATTTTTCAGGGTATTGAAAGTTGTTGACGTTATAAAATGAAGAAACAATTCAAAAATATTCACGTGAAAAGAATAAATACGATTGACAGTATGTAAATTTGATAAATGAACATTTATTTTGAATAAAACAAGTGGAACATAATTTTAATCAGGTACTTTCAAATACATCAATAATACTAGGAAATTAATAGTATACCCTATCCCCTTTCAGTATAAGCTTTGGTTCTGGTAATACTGATAAAATTTGTTCAGATGTGACATGAGATATGTCATTGTCATCCATTTTGAATAACTGATTATGTTGGTCGCAAATTTTGAGAAAAAGCACCTTCACTTCCCCATCTTCTTCTATTTCGGTTTGACATACCCCTACATAATTGTATTTTATCGCTGAATTCATTCTTCGCTTCTCATTCTCGATTTCCACCAAAACAAAGGAACCAGTTTGTATCATTGAAGCTGGTTTGGATGAGCATGATTTTGGTACCAATGAGCTCAACGGTTCATCATCGCTGCTATTGTATATATCATCATATCGCTGATTGTGTTGCTTAGAACACTGCACATTTTTAATCAGTTCTTCTTTCAAACTTTTAACTGAACTTTCAGATAGAACATCGGGACTCTTTTTGTAAGTGAGTGTTCCAATATTATAATGGTGACAATTTTCTAAACAATCCAGACGGGACAAGCTTCCGAAAAACATAATGTTGGAGTTGATGCTACCAACTACCTGGTGGATTTTTATGGTTCCAGGAAACTGAAGTTTATTTCCTGTATCAATGGTACTTGTGAAGTTTTCAATTTCATTAGCACTAATTTGAAAGAATCTAACTCCTGCACAGTTTTTCTGAAGAATGTCTACAAGAGTGTTGAAGTTGGATACGTCTTGTCCTTGACTCCCAATGCGATCAGCAGTACGTTTACAAACACCTCCTATTTCATCGGGAGCACCTCCTCCATGGCCACTTTCATGGTAGTTCCAACTGAATTTTCTCACTCCAGGAAAGAAATGTTTCAGATTATTACATAGAAAGGAAAACATTGTTTTGTTTCTATATTGTGTTGCTGGACTATCGCTCAGAAAATGTAAAGTATCAATATAACTTCTATTCATTATTTCATCCAGGACAGGATATAAATGTGCCCAAATTGCAGGAACATCGTGTTTCAGTGATTCTGATGAAGTGCAGAAACATTCAGTCTTGCGCTGGTTGTTCGATTTAGAATAAACAACTACAGTATGTAAAGTTATTTGCTGACGAGAATCTCCGAAATGGAAAGATTGTGTTTCTTCAGTATATTTCAAATTGTGATTTTCGCTGAAATCACAATGCACTAGAATTTCATTTTCGGATAAATTGTTTTTGAGCAAAGTCATGACACTGTATTGATGGTTAATCCGTGGTACATGAGCCATATATATCAAAATTTTTTGTTCAAATTTCTTCAACAGTTCAGAAATTTTAATTTCGAACTTTTGTTTGGACATCTTTGTGGTTATTTCAACCTCACTTGTTTTTTTGTTCAGATATTCCTCTTTGCTATTCACCCATTGGTTGTATTCAATTTTGTAATTTTTGTTGATTTCATCAGTATATTTGATGCTGCAATCTCTGCATTTAATACATTTTCGAAATAAGCAACTTTCATTATTGATTTCACATGTTGTATCTTGAATTATATCAGCTGGAGTCTTTGCAGAAATTGAACCATGTGAATTAAGGCTTTGCACCAGCAGCTCAATATTTGCATGGATAATGCATTTGCAATTTTCTCTATCAGATACTTTTATTGATTTGATCCAAAAAGGACGACTTCTACAAAACAAAACGATAACTGACTCTTTGAGAACGATATTTTTTAGTGTACTCCTTGTGAAGATTCTTCATCGTTTCCATCAGGAATTTTTTCTGATGAGTAATTTTATTTTTTGTAACGAAATCCTTCTTTCCTGGACACATCCGGCTATTATCATCCTGTTCCAAAAAAGTCTTTACCATTAATCGTAAATGATCACCTCTTTTCCTATTTTCTCGACGATGTTTTGATGATGTTCCACATTTCAGGATTCTAGAACATTCCGTCTGCAAACCGTATTTTTTACAACTGCACCTGATACGATTCTCCTGAGTACATCCTCATCAAGAGTTGTTTCAAGTTATTCATATGTTTTAGAAAGTTGTTGTTTTATAACTTCACCAAAAAGTATATGCTTTCTGATTTCTAAGGCGCTGCCATCATTTCTTATATTTTTCTGCTTTCCTCTTCAGTTCAATAATTTGCGAGTCTTTTTTCTTATTAATACGATAACGTTTTATACTGTTTCTGATTGATCTTCTTCTACCAGCATTCTGTATAGCTGAAAAAGGTGGTATGTTTTCTCATTCGTCATCAGATCCTGGTGGGGTTATTTCCAATAAACTTTGTACACGTTTTTCTTGATCATGTTTCATCTTAAAATTTGTTCTATAATTCCTCGAATTCGTTCTTCATTTTTTTTTCTGTTTGTCGATGTTCTCTTGGGGTTAGTTCAGCGACGGATTTCTTTATTTTATTCTCTTTTTGCCTGAGATATTTGTGCCTCCCTTTCTCTTGCTGTTCTTGTCTTTTGACAGGATCTTCTCTAATTTTTCTTCGTCGTTCTCTCTCTCTTTCTCTCTTGAATCGAAGTTTATCTTCATCTTTGGTTATTCTCTCTTTTTTCATAGCCATTGCATCAAGCACCTCGAAGCGATTATTCCGAAAATGACAACTTTTGATGTTACATCATTCCCGTGTCAGGTGCATCATTCCCGTGGTCTTACGAAATCACGGAAATGACTCCACGGGAATGACGAAATATAATGTTTTTAATTAATATCATCATAGAAGTTTGATAATGTCAGGAAATTTTCATGCTAAGAATAACAAATTGTAAACAACATACTAATTTAGGATGAATGAAATTATGTTTTTGCACGACCGAGCGTAAAGTAGCACTTTACCGCCCGGGTTTGCGGGCGTGAAGTGGCACTTTACCGCCCGGCGGGCGATGAAGTCATTGAGCTGGTGGTAGAGCCAATGTCACTGTCATATCGATAGAAATCTAGATTCCAATGGTTTCAATTAATGCAAAATGATTAGGAAAATAGATCTGAATTATACAGGAGTGCTCATTTGAATATTAAAGTTTTTTTTTATATTTCTGTAATGCAAAATCATATGATCAAACCCAAAACTTTATCAGCAATGATAAAACGAATCAATTAACATAAATAACGAGTTATAACTTAATATTTATAATACAATCAGAACAGTTAGTTATGGATATATTTGGATTTGTTGTCTCCTGCTGTTGCAGGTAGCTGATTCCAACTGATTCCATATTACTAGAATTCTGAAAAGAAGTAATTCCATTATCTGGTAGTTGAGACTAGTTAGCAATATCATCAGATTGTCTACAATGGCTAGTAGAAATCTCATCATTTGCTACGATTTTTTTAGCAATATTCAGCTTATTTGCAACAGAATTCTCGATATAACCTTCCGCAACAGTTGTCGACTTCCACCCAGCATGTCTTTCAATGTTGATTATATCCTCGCCTGCATCTGCTAACATAGTTGCTGAAGAACGTCTAAAGCAGTGACCAGTATATTCTTTTGCATTAGGAAGACCTAGATAAGTTGCTATTCTAAATGGTATTTGACCGAATGTATTTTTTCCGATGACCTGTCTCGAACACTTGCCATTTTTATAATAAAAAAAAAATCGCTTTTGATCATAATTCTGAACTCGCAAGAAAGAATATTTTCTGTAATTATCTATATAACTTGGCGATTTCTGTTGTTTATCGATAACAGTAAATACTCGATCTATCTTCGATTTGGTTTCTCTTATAGTTATGAGTAAGAAATTCTCAAAATCTTGAATGTCATCTACTGTGATATTTGCGAATTCCTGTCTGCGACATGCTTCACAAATACCAAAAATCAGTGCTACCTACAACAGAGTTTCAAATTATCATACTTGACATTAAGAAAGCATGAAAATAATACTTACTTCCATCATGAGGTTCGAATCGTCTGGTGCTTCACTCAAGAATAACTCTATTTCTTCTCTGCTTAGAATCTTCGATTTCTTTGGTTTCAGGTTTTCAGATTTTCTTTTCAAAAAAGCTATCAATCTTGCATATTCACTACCCACTAAACATGATACATAACAAAAATATTTTTCAGTTATAAGTTTTGTGATATTGTTGGAATAACATTGCGATAATGTCCTTCTGAAGTATCCAACACAATATTATGAAGTAAAACGTTTATGAGACATCGCATCAATATTGACATCGATATCATTAGATAATATTGTGATATATTGATTTAAGGTTTATCAGATATATCTCAGACAGAGTTTGTATGTTATTTCTGCAACGTTTTTGTTTCACCACCTTATAACGTAGCTTACATGCATACATAATACAAGGAGATGATATTTGTTCTTTTACGGCAAAGTAACCTTGTCAACTGTCGAAAGTCAATTCAATTCCATTCCAGCCATTTTGTTTGTTGTCTATTATGGTGAACAAGCCAAATAGTGTGATCAGTGAAAATATTGATTTTTAGGTATTATTCGTGTAGTTATCAAAGTAAGTGAAGAACTGAACAAGTCTTGGACTCAAATTCGAAACAACAATGAATTGCTCATGATAACTACCTACTTATATTCCAGGTTTGCTCTGCTTTAATATAGAAATGCAACCAATCTGTATCTGCATTTCATAATATGTGAAAAAGTAGGAGGGATTCGTGAATACGGATTGTGTTCATATTTCACGAATTACAAAAATAATTGGTGAGTTATATATCATAGCTAGAAGAAGAACATAGAATAGAATTTCAAAATAATTTAGAAAACTCCCAACAACTCGTATAGGAATATATTTACCCATAACTTTTCAGAATTTCAGTAAGGGATTACTGGATTATGCAGAAATCGTATAGCTGGACTGACTAGATTTATGAGGCAGAATAACTGAAATGATACTTAGGAAAATAGTAGTCAATCTGTCTCAAAATATCACTGGGTAACTATAGATCATACGTGTAGTTTTTCAGGAGTTCGGTTAGATCAATTCATATTCAGGGATAGTTCATCTTCTCTGATGTCTTGTCTGAAGATCATTCAGATGATTTTCTTGATGATTCCAGACAAAATAGACATAACCTAAAAACTCCTAGAAACTAATTAGAATGTTAATTTACAATACTGTTTAGATGTTTTGGGTAACATTAAATATACGTTATGAAGTAACATTGATTTTATGTGATTCCTGATATATTTATATAATATTTACCATCAACATTACATTGCAATATTTATACGAGGCACATACGTCGATTGCCGCAACGTAACTGTGATATCAAGCATATCTCTAAATAACATCACAAGGTCACATTGTAATATTACATTCATGTTTGAGTTATATTATTATGTTTAGTGGGTAATATCTCTATTATCATGTACATTTAAAGTAGCTTTCAACATGGAATAATATGACCACATGAAAGAGGGCTTACGAGATTTTGATTTTTCCAGAAAATAGGCAACAAGCACACTTTCAGTGTAGTTTTAATTTTTTACATCATTTCTGTCGCACCAGCTTACGAATTCTTCGTATACTTTGTCGTATATTTCTTTCGATTTACTTGGCAATAAACTCGATTTTGCTTCCTCAGCTGCCTCACTAATTTCTGGTGGAGTACAATCCACACTTTCTTCATCACTAGAATTCATTTTGAAATCACTAATGAATTATGTATTATCACACAAATTGACAGTTAATATGGCTACTGGCCTATTAATTCCTATTTCGAAAAATTGACTGAGTTGCCATGGTAACGTTGATTCCATACTTCTTGATTAATAGTATTTGCGATATGGATAGAATACTACGAAGCCCTGGAAGGGACACATAGAATAAAAAAAAATGAAACCTCTTCAAAATTCCGACTTATAACTCGGAATTTTAAAATTTTGAAATTCCGAGATATAAGTCGCAATTTTACATCCAATATTCCGAGTTATAACACGGAATTTTAAAATTCCGATTTATATCTCGGAATTTTAAAATTCCGAATTATAACTCGGAATTTTAAAATTCCGAGATATAAGTCGGAATTTTGATGTAAAATTCCGAGTTATAACTCGGAATTTTGAAATTCCGAGTTATAACTCAGAATTTTGAAGAGATTTCATTTTTTTTATTTTATGTGTCCCTTCCAGGCCTTCGTAGAATACAGTCTCACTGCAACCGTGATGTATTTTAATTGTGCTTGAGGGGTGAAGAGATATCTACATGAGATATCAAATATATACGGGTCGTGCATAAAATGTTGTAT